GGGAAAGGTATGAATCCTCTTTCTCTCCCTCCAGCTATGGGTAAAATAGCAGGACAGACTGGGTTCTATAGCCTTGGATGGCAACTGGTCTAGGAGAAGGACAACTCTGAATTCAAAACCTGCCGAGAGTCGTTTGGGAACCTTGTGGTATTCGGTGCACCAGGTCTCTGTATTCGTCCCTTCAAAAAGCGTGGTTGGTCCTGCACGTGGCCTTCACCACTGTAATCAAATCTCATGTGCCGGTGTCGGGCTGTCGGTTTCCTGGAAACTGATCTGCTTGACCCTCATACGTCGAATCTCGACGGGAGAGTCGACTATTTAACAAAATTACACAAAAAATCTTGAAATATTAAAGTGGCTAGACTGTTTTCACCGTTTAACGTGTGTAGTAGTGAGTTAACTGAAAAGTGTTCCGTTTAACATTGGCTGCATATTCATATGGCGAGCAGGCAGGTATGAGTTTTATATAAGACCGGGCGAATGGTAATGGGCGCTAGGCTGCACGGCTGTATCCGATTGTATTTCTATACCGAAGGCAGCTGAGTCATCCAACCTTTGCTGCTGTATATCGTCGCATTGCTGAGGTAGGATACATAGCAACACAAACTATATATCGAAGATGACCAAGATCCGCGCGTACGTCTGACCTCGAAGAAAGCATTCTACAGGCTGTCGGGGACGATCCTGGTATCAACACACGTCAAGTGGCCCTAGCATGTCGTACATCTCATAGTACCTCATGTAGGGTACTTCAGGAGCAGTTTGTCTATCTATCATTTGCAACGTGTGCAGGGTCTTTCGTCCTCTGACCACTCACCATGGGAGAACTTTCGCCAATTGTTTATCGCACAAAGTGCAGATTCGTTGCCTGTCTCTTCAGTCTTGTTTACGGATGAGGCAACATTTGGAATAACGAATTTACACAGCCAACATTTGTGGTCGTATCGGAATCTCCATGGTACAAAGCAAGGTAGACATCGGCACCAGTTTATGATTGATGTGTGGGCTGTAATTATAGGTGACTGTCTGGTAGGTTCATATGTTCTCTCAGCACGTCTTGCAGGAGCTGTCTACAGGGACTTTCTTTCGAACACTCTTCCAGAACTGCTAGAGGATGTACTCCTGCTAATACGAAGGCGCACGTGGTTTATGCTTGATGGGGTGCATCCCGTTTTAGTCACATTGTTCGCAATGCACTGATTGATATCTACCATGAAAAACGGATAAGAGGGTACCTCAGGAACAGTTTGTCTAATCGGTATCATTTGCAACGTGTGCGGGGTCCTTCGCCCTCTGACCACTCACCATGGGAGAACTTTCGCTGATTGTTTATTCCGCAAACTACCGATTCGTGCAGGCAATGGTCCCATTGCCTGAACGTTCCCCCGAGATCTCAATCCATTGTATTTTTATCTGTGAGGGTCACCTAAAACAATTGGTTTATGCAGCAGGCATTAATAATGCAGAAACGCTTTATCATCGTGTCATGGGGGCCTGCGAAACCATTGGACACCGTGGGGGAGTATTTCAAAGGGTCCACCAGTCAATGATCCGACGGGTACATGTGTGCTTAGTAGCAAGTGGAGGACATTTAGAATATTTGTTGCGAGTTGCTGTGTTGAGGTACAACGATGGCCTTTTGGACATATATTGTTGGTGTCAGGAACCTCCCCCCCAAACTTTGTAAAAGTATTTTTGGATTGTATCTTGGATTGTACAATTAGCAGCATCTACCGTTAAACTTAGGACATATCTTTATATAGATTTTTTTTTGTTTTGAGTTCTAAAAGTATTTTTTGATATAAGATATGCAGATGATACAGTGTTGATAGCAGACACGGATAGGTAACTATAAAAGCTTCTACAGAAGCTAGCGACGGAAAGCTAGAAGAAAGGACTAACTATAAACTACAAGAAGACGATGCATAGTAAACAGCAAAAGGATGAGCCCAAAATGCAATCTACAAATCGGGGGTACCAAAATCAAACAAGTACAGAAATCTAAATATCTGGGAAGTGTTCCAACAGAGAACGAAAAGTGCGACACTGAGATCTGAAGACGTATTGAGATGACCAAAGATGCTTTCCAGAAGCTAAGTAGAATATTAAGAGACAGAAATTTTTTTTTATTGAAAACAACGAAAAGTGACTGTTACGTGATATGTGTCATTCTGTATTGCAGCGAATGATGGTCAATCTCCTCAAAGATGAAGAAGAGACTTGAAACAATCGAAATGTAGTTCTACAGAAGGATGCTGAGGATACCACGAGCCGAACATGTGAGCAAAGACGAGGTTTTCGAGAAAATGGAAACAAAAATGAAACACCAGGAAAAGTCATCTGAAATTTCTGGGACACGTAATGAGAGGTAGGAGGACTCGGAAAACCTGATACTCACAAGACAGAGGGAAAGACGAAAGCAGCGCGTAACATACTTGATGAACTAGAGCAAATGGATGGTAGAACAGGGTTTGGGAGAAATAACAAAAAGACAAAACTTATTAAGATCTACAAGGGACAGGAAGATGTGGAGGGCCATGGTCGTCTACGCCCTGACGGGATACGGCACGTAAAATATAAAGAAGATAGTTTAATAGTTACCCGTGCCGAAAACGTTGTCGGCGAGCCGAGTTCAAATCCTAGCAGAGACTGTTGTATTCACTTTCGCGCAAATGCTGTTGAGTAACATTTCTTCTCCCGATCCCCACCTGTGGGTTAAATAACAACGCCGACTGCGTTCTCTAGCTTTGATTCGAAGACAGTCCTATATAAAAGACGACTCTGAATTTAAAAGTACCTGAAGAGCCATCAGATAAAAGAAATTTAAAACAATGACGAAGGCAGTAGTGTGCCACTCGACTCTCTCTTCATGGTTAAATAAAAAGATAATATATATAAAAAAAAATCAACCCGAAGATCGATGATCGATTACACCTTGAAAGGTTGATTGATCGATTTTATTTTTGACGTCTTACCAACCCACACATTGTCGATATGACAACGTTATGGACGCTTTGCCTTTTCACACTGGCAACGTGGTAATTAAAAATATTAATTACATAACCCTCTTTCTCCGCCATCTTTTATTCTCTCCTTTTAATTACATCTTGAAGTTAAAGTGCAGGTAATATCAGTGATCTTATATGGGAGTGAATGCTGGAGAATTTCCTAACAGATGAATAGGATTCTTAAGACAACAGCGATGTCGTTCAACAGAAGGATGTTGAGAATACCCTGGACAGGCTGAGTGATCGATTTGTTCTTTTTTACGGCTTATCAACCTTTTGCAGGTTATTTAAATTATTTAAATATTTTCAGATTGTAAGATTTCCTTTTTAGATAATGATTATTTACTGATACAAGTCCTACTAATTAACCCATATCTGGGGGAGAAATTCATACATTTTCCCTAAGTGAATATGACGAACTCGACTGGAATTTGAACTCGGCGCTCTTATTTCCAATTCTGAGCCGTTATCCATTACACCATCTGCATATCCCATCTTAGAACACCTGGTGTTTCCAAGCGGTCACTCATCTAGGTACTGAATAGATTTGACATTGCTTAACTTCGATGATTATATGTGAAACGGTGTTTCAATGCGGTCTGGCTGTAAGAATAACCCTGGTAGTTTATTGCTTTAAATAAAAAAAAAAAAAAAAAACCTGAAATAAAAGAATATCTATGTATGGATGCACACAAATGCAAAATATAATGATTGAAAAATGTATAAAAATTCATTTAAAAAAAAAAAAAAAAACTGAAATAAAATAATATCTATGTATGGATGCACACAAATGCAAAATATAAAGATTGAAAAATGTATAAAGATTCATTTGTAAAAAAATAAAAATAAAAACTGCTTCTAATAATGAAGGTCTTAAAATTTACTACCGTAGTCAAAGTAGTATTAATAAAATAATCTACCGTATATAAAGTGGAGGATCGATTTCCTATTGTTACCATCTAACAGACTGATCCTTTCAAAATTACTACATCAAACCATATAACAATTATCAATGTTTATTTTTTTATGTATTTCCTGTCCTATTTGTAGTGGAGAGGGAGATAAATCATCTTAAGTTAGTAAATTTATGAATGATTACTTCCCTTAGTCGTTTTAATAATCTATACAAATCAAATATTTATCTGCATTCAAACAAAATTACTTCCCGTGCAAAATTGAACGGTTTAATTACTTAGCACCTTTACGCCAACATTTCCTAGATTGCAGTCTTATGTGTTCAAGCCTTTCATGTGAGGCACTCAGATACCTTTGTCTATTAAGTGATCGTCTCGCTTCAAATTGATCTTGAAATAGGCTTTGTCATCGCCCACTTCGTATTTCTATTACCACACTTTTTCTTTTGATATTTTCATTTCACTGATGACACAGTATTTTTTAACATGGAAAGATATTGAGCAAAAATCGATTTATATAATACCAAGGGTAATCGATGAATGACAGATATCATTGATCGTCTAAAATCTATAAAGGGAACGGATTAATTAAACGGTTCACTGGCCTCTATTTTAGATGGGAATTCTTTATTTCCGCTTTATTGAACCGCAATACATTGTATCAAAACTTTTGTTTCATTGCATCTACTATTAAAATTTTCTTATAATTGTCGTTATTTTTGACGGCGGGTAAACTAGTTTCAATATAATAACTGAAAAAATATATTTAAACACAACGAATGTAAAAACCTAATAACTGTAAAGACTTAATAAAATTTGCCAAACTTTTATGGCCTGAGTAAATTTGTATGAATAAAAGTTTTTACTGGACATAAAATGGGAGACCATGTTTTTAAAATTTTTGTTACGCAATAAAATAATCCCAACATAATTACGAGATATTACCAAACCTGCTACTAATAATCAGTATCAACAGGCTTGCGACTGGATGCGTGAAAGGGAGTTTTTCTTCCGGGAAAGGGATAGGATATACAAAATATTCGACGTCTAGTTTGGTCTCGACGTCCAACTGGAGCAGATTAATTGTTCAATCCCTGTTTCTATCTATCTATCTATCTATCTATCGGTTTATTTTCTATCTATCTATCTATTTATTTATCTATCTATCTATCTATCTATCTATCTATCTATCTATTTTATTTTCTATCTATCTATCTATCTATCTATCTATCTATTTTCTTTCTATCTATGTATCTATCTATCTATCTATCTATCTATCTATCTATGGGTTTATTTTCTATCTATCTATCTATCTATCTATCTATCTATGTATCTATCTATCTATCTATCTATCTATGGGTTTATTTTCTATCTATCTATCTATCTATCTATCTATCTATCTATCTATCTATCTTGGGTTCATTATTATCTATCTATCTATCTATCTTAGGTTTATTTTCTATCTAGTTATCTATCTATCTATGGTTCATTTTCTATCTATCTATCTATCTATCTATCTATCTATCTATCTATCTATGGTTCATTTCTATCTATCTATCTATCTATCTATCTATCTATCTATCTACATATGGGATCATTTGTTATCTGTGTTCATTTTCTATCTATCTATTTGCATACATCTATCAATCTATCGCAGATTGTTCATATCTATCTATCTATCTATCTATCTATCTATCTATCTATCTATCTATCTATCTATCTATCTATCTTAGGTTTTACCTGAGCGTTCAGTTAATTTAACCATTACAAAAGAAGAAGAAAAAGAATAAAAAAAGAAATTTATCTTAACATTTATTATTTCCAGTTTCTTTTGACACCGTTCCGAACCTTCTGTTTGTAAATTGCTTAACAAAATGGCATTGTTCCCAATGTATTACATCAAAGCTCACAACTACAATTGTTTCGCGTGCATTCTTGAAAATTAACCACTCTTTCTTCAGACCACGCGTGAGTATAGATTTCTCTTTCTTTTCATCTTCAGTTGTTTTTCTTATTAATTTTATTCCTTTGCAATAATTCAATCTTTTTCACTTGATGGTTTTTCTTTTTTTTTTTTTTTTTTATCTCGTTGCGTTCGTTTGGCATTTAAATGATTTCCCTTTCTTCTTCATCTTCTTTACATTTTTTATGATTGCCTTTCATTTTATTGATCTTTTTACTTTTTGTAAGATTATCTTTTGCCTTCTTTCTTTCTTTCTTTCTTTCTTTTTTCACCATTATTTTGTCTTTCTTTCTTTTTCTTTCTTTACTGAAATTTTATTTTTATTCTTTTTTCTCTCGTAAGATTTTTTTGTTATTGTTCTTTCTTTCTTTCTTTTGATTTGTAATAGTTGCCTTCATTTTATTGTTCTTTCATACAATTTTTCTTTCTTTCTTTCTTTTTTCTTTCTTTCTTTTTCTTTCTTTCTTTCTTTCTTTCTTTCTTCACCACTATCTTTTCCTTTCTTTTTTCTTTCTTTGTCTTTCTTTATTGAAATTTTATTTTTTCCTTTCTTTCTCTTTTACGATTTTCCTGTTCTTTCTTCTTTTCTTTCTTTCTTTCTTTTGATTTGTAATAGTTGCTTCCATTTTATTGTTCTTTCATACAATTTTTATTGCTTTTTCTTTACCTTTCTTTTTTCACAACTGACTTTTCTTTCTTTCTTTCGTTTGATTTTTAATAGTTGCCTTTCTTCATGTTCTCATTGTTTCGACATCACTCCTTTTACTCCCTTTTTTTTTCATTCACTCCCCGCCCCTTCAGGCAGTTCGAAGGCCATTACTCGGTGAGTGGTGTTGACGTGAGCCAATCAAAGTCGTACTCAATAGCTGATTGTTAAACGTAATTAACTCTTCGCTGGCTAAAATTGAATCTCAACGTAAAATCCAATTAGTGAAATTGAAGCAAAAATCTTACCCGAGGCTCTGACCAAGACTTCAGACATCATTCACGAAAAGAATAAAAGCTGTCAAAAAAAATAAAAAAAAAAATGAAGAAAGAAGATCGGTCAAAAAGCAGCAATCGCGTAGTACAGGGGATATTAGCCGAATCAAAAGGTGCGTTTCAGATCTCTTTGAAAGAGGCTCAAAAATGCTGTTTGAACGTTAACGAAATCATTGTTATTATTGATCATCAAGTACACGTTCGAAAAGACCACCAAATGCGGCCGTTAATTTCCACGTTAAGTCGCTACTTGTTTAAAGAAAGCATATTCTAATTATATGTACACAAATAAAGGGAACTAATTTTTAATTAAACAACCCCAACTCCATTTACAATTTAAAGTTAGCTTTACGTATATTTAACTAATCCCTAATCAAGAGAAGTCTAGTGCTAAATAATTTTTGAATATACAAGCTTATATAAAAATTCAATTTATTCGAAATACTTCTCTTACCTGGAGGGTAAATCAGCCGAAACTTTGAGATAATAACAACAAAGATGAAGATATCTGTTTATATACCCGAGCTGAGGTATTATGATTTCTTACATTATTTAAATTATTCGGGCTGTTATCCTCATCTTCACTGGCATATTCACAACGTTTCGACGGTTGTACGCTCCGGCTGCATCTTCCTGTAGGGCCAACGGACATTTAACAAAATGGCCAAGACTGGGATCCATAGCTATGATTGCAGCCAGTGGGCTGATGACATAACGTCATTAGGCGGAGAGCTTCCTAGAATGAAGTCAACGGGTGTTTCAACGCCCTTCCTACCGATGGAATCAACAGGCACGTGACCGTGATCAACGCGCGCTTTCAAGTTGGAAGTCATCGGCTGTGGTTTGACAGGGAGAAAGATGGCTTCCAACAAGTCTGCTTCCCGAAGACGTTGCGCATAAAAGAATACCTCGGCTTTCAAACCCAGATATGGTGAAGGAATTGGTCAGGTGTCAAGGTGAGCAGCGTCCCTATGATTACATCCGGTCTTAGGACTTGCTTCAACCTGGTCTTGAATTAGACTTTGTGGTTCTGTTGCTATTCGTTTCCTTTCGAGAGATATTTTCATTTCACTGAAGCAGTAAACACACACCATTTTTTAACATGGAAAGATATTGAGCAAAAATCGATTTATATAATACCAAGAGTAATCGATGAATGACAGATATCATTGATCGTCTAAAATCTATAAAGGAGACGGATTACTTAAACGGTTCATTGGCTTCTAATTTAGATGGGAAAATGTTTATCTCCGCTTTATTGAATAGCAATACATTGTTTCAAGACATCCCACTATTAAAACCTTCTAACAAATGGCGATTAACATATAAGGGAGATAAATCGTATTAAGTTAGTAAATTTATGAGTGATTACTTCCCTTAGTCGTTTTAATAATCTATACAAATCAAATATTTATCTGCATTCAAACAAAATTACTTCCCGTGCAAAATTGAACGGTTTAATTAATCAGCGCCTTTACGCCAACATTTCCTAGATTGCAGTCTTATGTGTTCAAGCCTTTCATGTGAGGCACTCAGATACCTTTGTCTATTAAGTGATCGTCTCGCTTCAAATTGATCTTGAAACAGGCTTTGTAATCGCCCACTTCGTATTTCTATGACCACACTTTTTCTTTCGATATTTTCATTTCACTGATGACACAGTATTTTTTAACATGGAAAGATATTGAGCAAAAATCGATTTATATAATACCAAGGGTAATCGATGAATGACAGATATCATTGATCGTCTAAAATCTATAACGGGAACGGATTAATTAAACGGTTCACTGGCCTCTATTTTAGATGGGAATTCGTTATCTTGCTTTATTGAACCGCAATACATTGTATCAAAACTTTTGTTTCATTGCATCTACTATTAAAACCTATTATGTGAGCGTCACAGATGCAGATGTTGAGCCTTCATCGATGAGTTTGGTTTGCATCCTCTCTCCTGTCGTCGTAGTGTCGGCCGCTTCCACAGCATGCAGCAATAAACATCATCAAAAGAGGTTTAGATGCAGCGGGGTTCCCTTCGCAAATCGAACCCGTAGAACCTCGACCGTGGTGATGGAAAGCGGCCGGATTGCATTACCATTTTCCCTTTTAAAATGTGGAAGTCGTTGATTTGGGATGCGACCTCTGCGGATAGATTTTCGGCCGGTAATTTGATCAGTTCCCCGGTTGAGCCAGGATCCGTCGCCCGGGACGCTGAGATGAAAAAAAAAAATAGTTAAAAATTTTTCTCTTGCTGAGAGATTTTTTTTTTTTACTCCTGTGGCAGTAGAGACTTCAGGGGTTATTGGCCCTCGTTCGATGACGTTCCTTCGGAGGATTGGCGCCATTGCGTCTCGATTAAGGGACGAGCCTCGCGAAACGGAGTGGCTCTTGCAGCGTGTCTCACTGGCCATGGTTCGAGGTAATGCTTTCTCCACCATTGCGGCTAGCAGAGGATAGAAAAAAATGTTTATAGTTTCTGGAATTATCATCAATGGTCAACTGAACTTGCTTTGTTTAAATAAATTCTTACAATTGTTAGGTTTTGACGGCACGGGTAAACTAGTTTCAATATAATAACCGAAAAAAATATTTAAACACAACGAATGTAAAAACCTAATAATTGTAAGGACTTAATAAAATTTGCCTTCATCTTTGCTGGCATGAGTAAACTCATATAAATAAAAATTTTAGTGTATATAAAGTGGGTGACCGGTTTTCTATAGTTATCAAGTAATAGACTGTTTCCTCTAGAATACATATTAATCTTACAATTGGAAACTAATATATTTAAAAAGTCATATATAAAAACCTTCTATTAATAATTAAGACATAATAAAACATGACACACTTTTTTTATGGTCAGAATAAATTTGTATGAATAAAAGTTTCTACTGGACATAAAATGGGGGGGTATTTAAAAAAAATTTTCTTACGCAATAAAATAATCCCAACATAATTACGAGATATTAATACAAATAATGATTTACGGCCAAATCATGTTGAAACACCAGTTCTCGTGCGATCACCGAAGTTAAGCAACGTCGAGCCTGGTCAGTATCTAGATGAGTATTCTCTTGGGAATACCAGGTGTTGTGAGATTAGATGTACAGTTGGTGTAATGGATATTTGCTCAGATTTGTTAATCGGAGAGCCGAGTTCCAATTCCAGTCTGGTTCGTTATATTGCTTTGCGCAAATACCTCTGGGAAAGGCATGAATCCATCTCTCCTCGCAACTATGGATTATCTCCAAAAATAAAATAAAAAAAAAATTCTTACAATCTGAAAATATTTTCTGGCTCTAAATAACCTGTAAAGGGTTGATAAACCGTAAAAAACGAATCAATAAATCAATTTTTCCATGGTATTCTCGACAGCCTTCTGTAGAACTACATCTCTGCTGTCTTGAGTCTTCTCTTCAGCTATGAGAAAATCGTCCAATACTCACTTCCATATAAGAGGATTGTTATTACCTGCAGTTCAGCTATGAGATGTAATTAAAGCGAGAGATAGGAAGATTGCTGACAAGGAGGAGGAGGAGAATGTGATTAATATTTTTCCTATTCCAGCAGCATCAAGGCCTTTCTGGATAACCAAATTATATTCCCAGATATGTGTCTCCTCCCGACGAGAAAAATTGCGTCCTCACGTACCAATATTTCTCAAGATTGAAATTAGAGAACGGACCTCCAGCACGGGCACCTTCCGTTGAACAAAGTAGTCTTGCAGGTTTGTTTACTTACTAATTCGCACTTGTGCCAGACTAGACTGGCACTATTTATGTTATTCAGACTGTGTGGCGAACGCGCGTCAGTACATACGCAAAAGCGGCCTCGGATCGCATGCGGGCATGTTTGTCAACACCAGTTACATCCCGGTTTTCGCCGTCAGCAGCGGGATAGCTTGGCATGTCTAGATACGGGCCTCTCTGCAACTGGTCAAGATGCGCGTCTTTGTAAGATGCCTCATGCAAATGAAAGCTGGGGGAAAAAATCAGCAGTCTGCAAGTCACGGTGTCTTGTGAAGTCGGTCCCGTGGGCATTTTTGTTCCTCAAGTTGCTGTGTTTTCTGAGGCAGTGTTATTTTTGTTATCTTTCATCACTTTCACCCCTCTGCCTATTATCCCCTCGTAGTTGTTGGGAGAGCAATCTGTTAGGTGTTTGCAACCTTCCCAACAGACTCTTTGCTTACATTACAACAGACTGTTGTCTTCATCTTTATTATCATATTTACGACGTTACACTTCGACCATCTTCAGGCGAAATACGTTAGAATTTCGAAACGAACCCTTTATTTTGTCCACCGGGGTGTTCTAGTTCCACGTGTCATGCCTTTTCTGGATATATCAGTTTTCCCTTTATTAACGCGACTCTTCAAGCTTTTGTTCGCCTCTACTCTAGCCAGGTATTGAACTCACAAGTCACTTTTGGATTACTTTCACCAACGCTTCTATCCACTGAACCATGTGTCCTTGGATCCCAGTGGATAAAAGCGTTGACTGAAGTAATCCAGTGACTTAACCCAAAGAGTTGTGAGTACAGTACTTAAAGATCAGCCTTCCCTATTACAACTCTTGGCTTTGTGCCACCTTTTTTTTTTGTAAATAATGAGAATAAATATCGCTTTCCACTTTGGTAACTAGGCTTTATACATTTAAGCGCAGTACTCGATTGGCGGTGAGACATATTCAGGTATGGAAGAACAAACAAGAACAAAATCTACTTCCATACCTGAGGATGTCTGTAGGAACAGACGAAAGCTTGTAAAAAAATTAAAAAGACCTTATGCAACTGGAATTTATAAACGGGGATCATATCATTCATATACAGGTTCGGGGTTGGTGTATCTTATTTATATTGTTTGCGACGGTATTCTCGCCATTTAAATCATTAACGTCTATATTTGTTTTTTGTATGAATGATTCATGAATTATATATATGCATTTGCCACACCACAAAGCCCAAGAAAAATAAAAGCCGGGTACAATATATTCCTGCTCTACTAAGGTACTTCAAGTGTAAGAAGCCTAGACATCATAGGGATAGCTGCAGGAGTCGCCCAACATGTGGAAAATATGGCCAAAGGGATTCAGACCACACGGAAGAAGAATGCCATTATGAAGTAAGATGTGCTAATTGCCAGGAAAAGCATCCAGCATACCCATGATCATACGACTTTTGGAAAGGGGAAAAGGAGATAGTTGAGGTGAAAACATAAACGAAATGTCTCATTCGTAGAGGCAAGGCAAATTGTAGAAAGCTACATGAAAGACTCTCCCTATGCAAAAATAACGACCGCAAAGAATACCAGTTAACCTGACAAATAGGGAGCCCTTATTGAGAAGCTCGTACACTTAGGATCAAATGACTGGCCTAAATTTTAAAACTACCTGAAACAAATATACACCAAGGAATTAGTAAAAACTGTACCACAAGATAAAGCAAACGGAAGAATTGAAATACAAAATAAATATAAAAAAAGAACAAATACAAAATCTATCGCTCAAACACAAATCTCCCATTCAAAAACACGAAATCTCCTGCAAAGCAAAGGTCACAGCGATCTCCTATCCGTCCGTTTAAAACTTAAGAACTTATCTCCCAACAAAACAGAACTATAGAAACAAAACCCAGAAATTAACAGTGACCAAATTCCTACCTAAAATCGATTTTACAAACTGGAGAAATGCAGGTGGATAGCCAGAGCCCACAAATGGCCCAAACCTCTAGGCTTAAAAACTTCGGAAAATTAAATGACAACCACATATTAAGCTAACGCCTGAAAACATTTAGCAATCATGTAATCCAAATGGAACTGCCGGACATAAAGGTAAACAAACTGCTTCTGCTAATAACAAACCTGTCAGCGGCAGTTGTTTGTCTTCAGTAAACACTCCTTAAGCAAAATGACAAACTGAATATAAAATGAATAACACCAATACAACTACAGACATGACACTGGGCTTCGAGCGTCAGGCGGTAGGGTCCATCCTAATTAGGAATGATGTTCCTCAAAGTAAAATAAATTGAACAACTTTACAGGCGACTGCTGTTAAAGTGACCTTACACAGGCCAATAAACAACTGTCCATTATGAACAAGTAAATGAAGCTGAAATTCATGAAATCATAAGGCAACTCCCTGTCTCTTTTATGATACTAGGGGAATTGAACTGTCATAGCACCATATGGGGTTGCAAAGACACATACCAAAAGAGAAGGACCTTAGAAACAATAATTTTTAACAACGACGTATGCATTTATAATGATCAAAATCAGATTTACATAAACTCAATTGCTGACCTCGTACGCTAATCAGCTTTAGATATGAATATAGATTCAACGATCAAAGTCTCATACACTGACTTTAGGAGGTCAACAAATACATTCAAAAGGAATGAGACATTAGCTCTTCGCAATTCAGTCCAAACAAGGAAAATGGAAGTTGGCTTTCAGAACATCTTGAAAGGAATTAATAATACTGGCTCGCTTACGCATTGGACATACGAGAATAACCCCCTCATACTTGCTAAACAACGAAGACTAACCAGTATACCAAGCATGTGAAACGGCGTACAGTATTAAACATATATTAATCGAGTGTTCAGACATTGCTCTCTCAAGATAAAAATGCAATAATATAAACATGAGCTCTTCGAGAAAGAGAAAGTGAACGATATATTTATTAAAAACAGTTGGCCTTTACCAAAAAAATATAAACTAAATGGGAATTTCAATAAAATCAATTTCTCTCCCAACTATATCTGAAAAGAATACATGAATGAACCCAAACTCTCAACAATACCCCTCTTTACAAAAATACGTCAATGAAATCTGATCTACAAAAAATTTCTTACAAAGAATATATATTCTATTATTACGAACCTATTCTAAAAATCTTGTTGGCATTAAATAACCCATTGATGTTATGTCATAAAGGAATTATCCATTCATCGTGTGAAATTAAAAGTAATTTTCTTGCCTGTACAGAATTGAGTATTGCAGATTTTATAAATAGATTAATGCATTGACTGTATCACTTTCAGTGTTTTGTCGGTTCACTTTGTTGAACTGATGTCGATTTGCAATGATCAACGAGATATCGTAACTGCAAAGGTCCTCGATTGGATAAACAAATTGTTACAAAAAGAACGCAGATATAAACATTCTATTGTTCACTGAATACAAAGCTTAACTCAATCCGACAGGAAAGTCTCCGATCGGGAGATTGAAGGTTCTGACCAGCAGTAAAAATCTTGGCATTAAATAACCCACAAAACATGCCACAAAACAAATCAAACCAAACAAGGAGAATGGAAGTCGGCTTTCAGAAAATCTAGTAACGAAGTAGTAATGGCTCGCTTACACATTGGTCACACGAGAATAACCCACTCGTACTTGCTAAACAACGAAGATCAACCAGTATACCAAGCATGTGAAACGGCGTGCACTGTTAAACATATATTAACCGAGTGTTCAGACATTGCTTTTTCAAGCCGAAAATGCTATAATATACACATATATAATCTCTTTGAGAAAGCAACATGATATAATTTCTTAAAACAGTCGGCCTCTATATATATATATATATATATATATATATATATATATATATATATATATATATATATATATATATCAAATGAAATGTCAATAAAATCAATTTCTCTATAAACTGTATATCCGAAAACACGTCAATGAAAAAAGGACTCTCGATGAAAACCCTCTATACAAAAATACGTCAATGAAACCTGATTTAAAAAAACTGATATCTGACAAAGAATACATATTCTGTTCATACGTATCTATGGTAAAAATTTTATCGGCATTAAATAGCCCATTGAGGTGTTCATATGCCATTAAGCAAAACCAACCAAACGAAAACAAAAATCTGCTAAGCCGGCCAAGCATAGACATTAATATAATATGGCAACCATTAATAGAGAGCTAGAAAAAACAATAACAACTTTTAGATTGTATTATGAATTCTGGTAAAAAGTAATAGTTACCGAGAAATTAGGTTTATAAGTCCCCTAAATCCATCCACTGATGTCCCCAAGGACATATGACCCCACTAGATAAAAGCTTTGGTTGAAGTAATCTAGTGATTTGACTCAAACAGTTGTGACTTCAATATGTGAACAAAAACTTAGAGAGTTGAGTTACTAAAGGGAATTAGCTTAAACTGAGATATAGAGAAAAGGCATGGCACGTGGAACTAGAACAATCTACCCAGGCGGAGGAAATAAAGGGTTCTTGTTCAAAATTTCAACGTATATCACTTGAAGAAGCGCATAACCGCCGAAACATTGTGAATATGACGAAGACGAGGACAACAGTCCGAACAATGTGAAGAGTGTAAATAATACAGCACTAATCTATACAAATAAAATGAAGTGCTTGTTTGCCTGCCACAGACTCGGAAACTACCAAAGTTGACCTAAGTCAACTCAGAAAATCTTGACGGTTCAAGAATAATGTCAAAGAACCTATTCTTGGTGGAAGTTAAATATTTATTCCTCCGTCCAAATAGCGACAAAGGGAGATAAATCAGTTTTTGATAGAAGATTAATACATGGTTACTTACCTTGATCATTTTAATAATCTATGCCAATAAATGAAGTGTCTTTTTATTCAGAAAAAAATAAGTTGCCAGGAGAACCGAGGTACCTTATCAAAACCTATTAGACGTGGTTGAACCAAAGAACCATATATGGAAAACGAAAGACGTTTCAAAAATTAGTAAAATATCTTAATCTTGGCTGTAGACTAAGAATGTCATTCGGAAGAGTTGGAACATTTACAATAGTGTTAAAAAATAGAATTGAGGTAGAATCTAGATCATCCAAAACGAGAAATGTTAAAGTCTGTGAATATACCGTGGAAAGTGCGAGGTATTTGAGAAAACTGGCTGCAACTTAAGCCATAGTGATAAGCAACTTTTCATAAGAGAAAAAAGAGTTTTACAAATTGGATACTAAGCAACGAACAATATGGCTGGGGAAAAAAATTAAACTTTTGTACATGGTTTACATGAAATAAAATAATTTATTGCGCGTAGGAAAAGTGGGAAACTACATGTATAGACAACTAAACTATAATTTCATTCTTTCTTTCGTGAATTTTAATTTTATTTATTCAAAATTAATTCTTTCTTAATAGATCGAAGTTTTATTATGTTTTTTTTTTTCAAAATGTTTCCTTTTTTAATAATACCCAGTCTTTCTTGCAAGAAAGAAAGAAAGACTGGGAACTATCTTACCTGAATTCTTTATTTTATTTTTCAAACTTATTTTTTTTTCTTATTAGGTCCTAGTCTTTCTTTCTTTCTTTCTTTCTTTCTTTCTTTTTTGAAGATTTTTATATTTTGAAAATTTTATATTTTGAAATATTTCATCTTTTGAAAATTAATTATTTCTTAAGATTATTTTCTTTCTTTCTTTCTTTCTTTCTTTCTTTCTTTCTTTCTTTCTTTCTTTCTTTTTTTTCTGAAGATTTTAATATTTTGAAAACTTAATATTTTGAAATATCTTATTTTTTGAAAATTAATTATTTCTTAAGAGCTACCAGTCTTTCTTTCTTTCTTTTCTGAAGATTTTAATATATTGAAAATTTTATATTTTGAAACATTTTATTTTTTGAAACTTAATTATTTCTTAAGAGCTACCAGTCTTTCTTTCTTTCTTTCTTTCTTTCTTTCTTTCTTTTCTGAAGATTTTTATATTTTGAAAATTTTATATTTGAAATATTTCATTTTTTGAAAATTAATTATTTCTTAAGAGCTACCAGTCTTTCTTTCTTTCTTTCTTTCTTTCTTTCTTTCTTTCTTTCTTTCTTGAAGATTGTAATATTTTCTTTCTTTCTTTCTTTCTTTCTTTCTTGAAGATTGTAATATTTTGAAAATTTTATATTTTGAAACATTTTATTTTTTGAAAATTAATTATTTCTTAAGAGCTACCAGTCTTTCTTTCTTTCTTTCTTTCTTTATTGAAGTTTTATTTTATGTTTTCGAAATTCTTTCTTAATCGCTCCCAGTCTTTGTTTGTTTGTTTGTTTCTTTTTTTCCTTCTTTCTTTCTTTCTTTCTTTCTTTCTTTCTTTCTTTCTTACGTTTCTATAGAAGAAGGTACAAAATTCAATTTTTACTAACTATAGACTCCGATGAAATGAAAGATATACAAACAGCAACATCTGTAATCACAATAATGCCATTGGGTAGAGAGTTCTATTCGAGCATTCAACATTTTAAAACGGATTTTGTGCTTCAATTCCATTTTACCGGTTTCCTTTTTCCTCCTGCTTTCAAACGAAATCTTTTCATTATCGCGTCTGTCACTGAACAAGAAAATCACAAAAAAATCTACTAATATCCGCTAAAAGATTTTTTTTTTACCATTTTATTGGTATTTTTTCAAAATGTATTTCTACAATTTTATTTACATTTTTTAAAAAAAATATATTTTTACAATTTTATTTGTATATATTTTCCCAGCTCGTGAAAGACAAAACTATAAAACCCGTTTGTCTCACAAACGAATAGCAAACTGAATCTCGCACGAGATAACGCGATATTTTGCTATTTTGCCAACCGTGGAGATTAAAAAGAGGAGGAAGAATAGGATTTATTTAAATTCGATTAAGAAAAAAAGAAGATTATTGCGAAAGGTAGATGACACACAGACACACTAATAACAAATATATCCACAACAATGACAGTAAAAAAAAATATCTATATAAAACCAAAAAGAAAGATAAAGTTATTTTTCTTGACGTCATCCTCCTTTCTTTCGAAACACAAGCACAAGAGGTTTACAATAAGCCTTACAACAACATTGAACCTTGGAAAAGGAAAGAGAATACATGACCTTCAACTTATTAATAACAATGGATAGAGCAGCTTGTTGAATAAATAAGAAAATCTGAATTCCGATTCTGTTTAATCTTTGCTTCGGTCTAGTCATATTACCCAGCTATGGGTAAAATAACCGGACAGACCGGGTTCTATAGCCTTGGCTGGCAACCAGTTTGGGAGAAGGAAAATCTGAATTCAAACCGCCAGCTGCCTTGCAGGCAAAGGCAAGAAGAAGGTAACGTTAAAAATAAATCCACGTCTGAGAGGGGAGACGGGGTAGCTTCCACATCCCTGATGAGAAAGTAACCGGCAAACCATTGTACTATTCTGAATGACCCCCATGAATCACAAGTGCGGGATGAAGCGGGGTGGTGACCATAGCGGAGGCGCTAAATACGTTAACAAAATAAAATGAATGAGTCATTTTTATTAACTGTCGAAGAAGAGCATGGAAACGATAGAAGCTTGGTTCTATTGACAAATGTTGAGAACTAAACATATAGACAGGAATTAAGTTTAACGAGGAGGTTTTGAGGAAAGTAGGCCTACAATCCATAAGACCTTTGTCCAACGGGACACGGGCTAATAACCCTGTTGTTTTAAAATCATTTCACTAATACGCAAGGGGTTACTGAGAGTGAAAGAAACCGTGAAAACGTTGAAGAAGAGATTACATAAAAAGGCCAGGATTCAAAGAGACACCTGACGTTGCATTTGAAATTTTGAAGGTCGTAGTTGACAGGAATGCAAGAAGCCGGAAGAGACTTCAATGAGCGCGTAGTGCGAGAGAAGAAACTTACGGTTACATATATCAGTATCACCAATGGAATTATGAGACCTAGCTGCCAATCAAGTACTGCGCTTAAATTCATGAAGTTGAGGAACTAAAGAGAACAACTCACCAGAACAATCACGACGAAAGTATTTAAAGAATAAGCGAAAAGAAGCTGTGTTACGATGGTGGGAGGTGATTGAAGCCGATATGCCAGGTCAGGACCGATGACGTTGCGGATTTTTCTTTGGGTTCTGTCAAGATGCATATCAGAGGCGCCAGATCAGATTCGGCAGCAATATTCGATGCACAGACGTATAAAGATGCAAGATAGATTCTGCCAAGGTTGTTTAACACGGCACACGGAACCAGATTTACCGCCGAAGACCTAGTGGCTGATTCAATATAAACGTTCTACTTCATGTCAGTTGAAAACCTTAGACCGAGAAGGCACAATGAGTCATTCTCCTGGAGGTTACCATCAGCCATACTGATAGAAGTTAAAAAGAGTTCTCTCAGACGATTAAAAAAGAGCAGTTTCCTTTTTGGAGGCGTTAAAATTAACAAGCCATTTCTTGCCCCAGTTAACAACAGACGGGAGGTCATTTTTGAGATTAGCTCCCAAACTGGTCTTTATCGAACCGACCAGTCTTACCATTGACAGGAGGAAATACTTAACGATTCGATTCGATAACTGATGATACCGAAAGCGTTGGTTCATTAATTCAAAAAGCTTCTTCTTCGGATTTTAGATCGATTATCCTTTGAATTTAGCTCAACTTTCGTTTCATCGGAGAAGAGAACATTTAGTAAAAAAAAAAAAGAAAAAATCAGGCGAGTCACTTTTATCGAACAGCACAGTATATATATATATATATATATATATATATATATATATATATATATATATATATAAATAAAGAACAGCAAGATATATAATCCGGTGTTCTTATAGACATTTTTATTTTTACAAAATAGTGCTCAATGTAAATTTACAGAGCATTCAAATGGAACTAATGTCTTTAATTTAATCACAAAATTAAATTCGTGGCTTTTTAGCTTCCATTTTTGAAACATGGTTAGAACTGTGTAGCAAAAAAACATATTTTAAATCAATTAATTTATAATATATATATATATATATATATATATTGTTCTGACTGGCGCGTGTTGTAGTGCACCAGGATCCCTTAAAACTCCATTGGGAGCATCACTCAGTTTAAACCGTACGCCGTTGAAATTTCCGATAGAACGATTTATGAATATCGATTTTGCTAGTCGAGTCAGGGTTTTCATTGTATAGGGTTTTGAATAATACATGCGTGGCTATGTCTGCTCCAGTGTTCGAAGTTTATCTAAAGTAAATTGGAATATACGTGATGTAAATCAGAATTTACAGGAAATTAAATAATTTTCAAAGTCAAGGGAAGGTGGGTGTCGAAAGAGGCCTGCACCTCCACCTTTTTCTTTTATGTCTTGTGTTTTGCAAGGATGCTGGCGATCATAGCTCTCCACAATTTCCTGCTCTTCATAGCGTTTAATAAATATAGTCTTTTTGCTATCTCTCCCAAACCCTGCTCCGTCTGCCATCCACCGAACCTCGCAAGGAAGATTATGCGTTGTTTTTCTCTGCACTCAAAGTTTAAAAATACATCAATATATTTTTTTTATTACTATTACATTTGTAAAACTCGTCTATAAAAATAATCTATATAAATGTATATTCTACTAATATGAAAAAGAATTTTCAATAGTTTGTAACACGTTTTCTTTCATCATCTTTTAGCTGCGTCACGGTCTTTGGGAAGAGTGCACCTCCGTCAAAGGTCAGAGTTGCAACCGAGGAAAATTATACTGAGAGGTGCCCAGAAGAGGGGAACAGTTGTCCGAGATCGCGCCCTCTCATTGCACCAGAAAGAGAGTGATCGATACTCGCACCGAGGCCAGTGCAACCGACGGTTACGGGGTCCCGGTCAATTTCTGCTCCTAGCCCAGGTGTACGCGCTCGGGCTCCACACTTTAAACCTCCCTTGTATCACAACCTGGCCTCGTGGTGGAGGGGGTGTTAATAAATACCAATATATGCATATTATTTGGAATGCATATTTTGAGTAGAACAATTAGGAAAGGAGGGGGAATGAAATTCTGCCATGTTGTGAAAAGGGAGCATTGAGCAAAAATGGTTGAAAAACAATGATCTAGACATTTCAATTGTAAATTGATGACAGTGAGTGTTAGACAATCTCCACGCAGATGAAGAAGAGACTTGAGGAAGTAGAAATATAATTCTACAGAAGGATGCTGAGAATACTATGAACTGAATATACTGTGAATATCAAATTTTCTAAGCCCTCTTTTCTCATTATGTTCCCTACAAAATTCAACTTTCTCTTTATATTTAGTATCATTGTCCGTTTTGTTGGTATTTTCTTTAAAAATTTGTTGTTCTATTGAGTCCATAGTATTCTCAGTATCCTCCTGTAGAACTATATGTCTATTGCTTCAAGTCTCTTCTTCATCTGCGAGGAGATTGTCTAACACTCACTGTCATCAATTTACAATTGAAATGCCTAGCTCAATTGTTCTCAACCATTTTTGTTCAATACCCCCTTTTCACCACATGGCAGAATTACATTCCCCTCCTTTCAAGATTGTTCTACTCAAAAGATGCATTCCAAATATATATTGGTATTTATTCAACCCCTGATGAAGCCAGGTTGTGACACAAGGGCGGTTTAATGTGTGGAGCCCGAGCGCGTACACCTGGGCTAGGAGCAAAAATTGCCCGGGATCCCGCAACCGTTGGTTGCGTTGGCCTCGGTTCGAGCATCGATCCCTCTCTCTCTGGTGCAATGAGAGGGCGCGATCTCGGACAACTGTTCCCCAGGTCTGTGCACCTCTCAGTATAATTTTCCTCGGTTGCGACTCTGACCTTTGACGGAGCTGCACTCTTCCCAAAGAGTGACGCAACTGAGAGTTTGATAAATAAACGTGTTACAAACTATTGAAAATTCTTTTTCATATTAGTAGAATATACATTTATATAGATTATTGATATAATGGAATATGCGTACACCTGTGTTCCCCCTCACTGGAATGTGATTGGCTGGTGTCCGTCATAAATACCGACGAGGTGTAGGAGAGTCAAGAGCTAAGTCTATAACGACGCCCATTGGACTACGCCATTGATCTACACTTCTTACCTGCGACTATGACGCGTACCAGTCGATTACTGCTACCATATTCTACTTGGTTATAGTAGCCAAAACCACTTAGCTACTTCGTTCAAATATATCCCTTTCCGGGACATATCACTATCTATCTATCTATCTATCTATCTATCTATCTATCTGATATAATGGAATATGCATACACCTGTGTTCCCTCTCACTGGAATATGATTGGCGGGTGTCCGTCATAAATATCGATGGACGTGTAGGAGAGTCAAGAGCCTTAGTCTGAGAGCTAAGTCTATAACGACGCCCATTGGACTACGCCATTGATCTACACTTCTTACCTGCGACTATGACGCGTACCAGTCGATTACTGCTACCGTATTCTACTTGGTTATAGTAGCCAAAACCACTTAGCTACTTCGTTCAAATATATCCCTTTCCGGGACATATCACTATCTATCTATCTATCTATCTATCTATCTATCTATCTATCTATCTATCTGATATAATGGAATATGCATACACCTGTGTTCCCTCTCACTGGAATATGATTGGCGGGTGTCCGTCATAAATATCGATGGACGTGTAGGAGAGTCAAGAGCCTTAGTCTGAGAGCTAAGTCTATAACGACGCCCATTGGACTACGCCATTGATCTACACTTCTTACCTGCGACTACGACGCGTACCAGTCGATTACTGCTACCGTATTCTACTTGGTTATAGTAGCCAAAACCACTTAGCTACTTCGTTCAAATATATTCCTTTCCTGGACATATCAATTATTTTCATAGACGAGTTTTACAAATGTAATAGTAATAAAAATGTTGGTGTATTTTTAAATCTTGAATACATGTTCAGTAAATTGTTTTAATTCATAACTAATTATAAAATAAATAGACTGAATAATAAAGAAGAAAGTTTAATACACTGCCAAGGTATTGTAATTTAATAAACAACATTCTATAAATAAAAATCAAGAATAAATTAAAAAAATTCTCCTCCATCTACACTAAACCCTGACGTTTCCTCTTGTGGGGAATTGCGGGGAATTCCTCCTTGGTTAAGAGCCCATGGTCTAGATGCGACCGTAAGTTCTATGCTAATAGTTTCTTCGCTCGCACTTCTCGTTTGCAGAACTCTCTTCTCAGCTTCTTGCTTTCCAATCAACTTTGATTTTCAAAAATTTAAATGCAATATCAATCGTTATATTCTGTCTTCTTAATTCCTGTTCGTTTATTGTTCTCTACCCATAATAAAATTTATCTTATTCTTATATTCTCTCACACTCAGAAACCCCCTTGCGTCTTAGTGGCTGTATTGCCTTGCTTGGAGTGAAATGATAAAAAAAAAATCCGAATGCAACGGTCTTCATCCCCCGAAACAAATTTCGAGTATATTTGTTATGGCAGTAAATGCCGGGCAATCTCGGAAAAAGAGACTCGAATCAGCAGAAATGTGGTTCTACAGAAGGATGCTGAGGATAACATGAACTGAGCATGTGAGCAACGATATGCAACAAACTTATACTTCTTCATCTGCGAGGAGATTGTCTACCACTACTGTCATCAATTTACAATTGAAATGTCTGGCTCAATGGTTCTCAACCATTTTTGTTCAATACTCCCTTTTCACCACATGGCAGAATTTCATTCCCCTCCTTTCCACGTTATATAACAGTTTCTTTCATTCTTTCTTTCCTTCTTTTCATTAAACTATGTGTGTCTGCATGAACTGAACACGAAAAGCTACTGAAATAATACAATTAAAATTCATCGCGTGGTGTGTGTGTGTGTGTGCGTGTATGTGTAGGCGTGTTTGTTTATCGAATGTGGCTTTGCGCTTTGTGGAAGAATTCAATAAATTCTTATTCAAACAAATGTTAAATGGTGCCGTTGGATGTTGACTTGGGAAAAAAAATCGTTTCGGAAGAATATATTTTTAAAGAATTCCCTTCGTGAATTTTAGGATTCCATCTGAGAACAGCGCGTTTAAACAGAAAATAAGATACAAGTTTTGTTTTGTTTTGTTTTTTTTTTACTCCCAAATTTATTTTTCTTTCTTTTATTTTCATGCTTCAGTTAATGTTTATTTTCTTTCCGTCACCCGTTGTTTATCTGTGTTTGTTTTTTTTCTTTATTTAATTGCTTCATTCGTTCCATCTTTCTATCCGAACGTCTCTTATTTTTTCTCCTTCACTTAAAAAAGTCATTTGTTTGTCTTTTTTCATTCGTTTTCTCATCCTCTTCTTATTTTTAATTTTCTTTCTTTCTTTCTTTCTTTCTTTCTTTCTTTCTTTCTTTCTTTCTTTCTTTCTTTCTTTCTGTTGTAACCTAGAAAAGGTTACTGAATGAGGAATCACCAAAATGGAGGTTGGAAATGAAATGGTAATCTTTATAAAAAAAAAATACAATACTCGCCAGCGGCGTGAAGTAGGTAAACCACTGCTAGTGGTGGACTACTTAGACACCATATTACTCCCACTTACAATAATGTCCAACTTATTTATGAGGAATGGGATATACCCATTAGTGTTCATAGGTACGTTATATAACAGTTTCTTTCTTTCTTTCTTTGCTTCTTTCTTTCTCTTCAAGAAATATGCATTTTCTTTACACTTTCATTTTTAAGTCTTCTTTTCAAAAATATATATTTTCTTTACTCCTTCTTTCTTTCTTTTATTCTTTCTTTCTTTCCTTCTTTTTCTTTTCATTTTTTCTTTCCTTTCAAGAAACGTAAATTTCTTTACACATTAAATATTACTTTACTCTTTTTCTTTCTTTCTTTCTTTCTCTTCAAGAGTATGTATTTTCTTTCCACTTTCATTTTTTAAGTTTTTTTACAAAAAATATATTTTTTCTTTACTGTTTATTTCTTTTTTCTTTCTTTCTTTCCTTCTTTTCATTTCTTCGTTCTTTCCCTTCAAGAAACGTCAATTTTTTTACAAATTCAATATTACTTTACTCTTTTTCTTTCTTTCTTTCTTTCGTTATTTATTTATTTATTTCTCTTCAAAAATATGTATTTTTTTACTATTTTTCTTTCTTTCTTTCTTTCTTTCTTTCTTTCTTTCTTTCTATTCAAGACTATGTATTTTCTTTACACTTTCATTTTTTAATTCATTTTTTTAAAATATATTTTTCTTTACTCTTTCTTTCTTTTATTCTTTCTTTCCTTCTTTCTTGTATTCATTTGTTCTCTCTTTCCTTTCAAGAAACGTAAATTTCTTTACACATTAAATATTACTTTACTCTTTTTCTTTCTTTCTTTCTTTCTTTCTTTCTTTCTTTTCAAGAGTATGTATTTTCTTTACACTTTCTTTTTTTAATTCTTTTTTTTCAAAAGATATATTTTTCTTTACTGTTTCTTTCTTTTTTTTTTTCATTCTTTCTTTCCTTCTTTTCATTTTTTCGTTCTTTCCCTTCAAGAAACGTAAATTTCTTTACACATTAAATATTACTTTACTCTTTTATTCCCGAAGAATATATTTTTAAAGAATTCCCTTCGTGAATTTTAGGATTCCATCTGAGAACAGCGCGTTTAAACAGAAAATAAGATACTAGTTTTGTTTTGTTTTTTTTTACTCCCAAATTTATTTTTCTTTCTTTTATTTTCACGCTTTAGTTAATGTTTTTTTCTTTCTGTCACCCGTTGTTTATTTGTGTTTGTTTCTTTTTCTTTATTTAATTGCTTCATTCGTTCCATCTTTCTATCCGAACGTCTCTTATTTTTTCTCCTTCACTTAAAAAAGACATTTCTTTCTCCTTTTTCATCCTCTTCTTATTTTTAATTTTTCTTTCTTTCTTTCTTTCTTTCTTTCTTTCTTTCTTTCTTTCTGTTGTAACCTAGAAAAGGTTACTGAATGAGGAATCACCAAAATGGAGGTTGGAAATGAAATGGTACCAGTGAAAACCGTAATCGTCTTTATAGAGCGTATGTGTATAGATCGCTAGGAAATATAAGACGCAGTTAAAAAAATAGAAATTCCAAGAAAAAAAAAAAGCTAATTTTCATGTATAAAACGCACCTGATTTTAAAGCAAAGAAATTGACGAAAATTTGTGGAAAAAGAAGGGAAAAAAATGAAAAAACAAACAACGGGTCACTTTGTTTACTTTTGTCGTTCAGGAGGTTGGTGATCATGGCTCTCCACAATTTCCTGTCCTTTGTAGCTTTTAGTTTCAGCGATCTATTTTAAGGTGGTCACAAACTTGCACAATCCGTGAAAACTGTAATCGTCTGTATAGATCGTCTGCGAATAGATTGCTGGGAAGTATAAGACGTACTTAACAAAATAAAGAGATTCCAGGGTATAAAACGCACTTGATTTTAAAGCAAAGAAAATGTGTAAATTTGTTGAAAAAGAAGATAAAAAAAATGAAAAGACCAAAAAACGGGTCACTTTGTTTAATTTTGCGATCCGTAAGCGTTACATATAACGTGATAATGACAGTTGTATTTTTTTTATCGTGAATTTGTATTTTGTTTTTGTTTTGTTCTTTATCGTGAATTTTACCTTTGAATTATTTCCAAACTCACGTAGGTGTCTAGACTCAACAAAAATCCAGAAAAGTAAAGAACATTTTGAAAGATTTATTTCTCTTCTATATCAAACTGATGACCATACGCAATTAGATAGATACCATCTCTCCGGTAAACAAATAAATACAATGTGACCCGATTTTGTCCGTCTTGAATCCTGGAAAAAATGCAATTGAGTTCTAAGCTAATGTAAAAGATACAACAAACATTTGGACACTATTTTTTGATGCAGGATCACGCTACTTACTCACGTTTAATCCCTAGCTATGATTTAAATGCTAAGCGGGTTACCAGTTTTAAGACAGACAATTGTTTTGTTTGAATAACTAAGGAATTTAATTATAAAATTAATCGAGAAATCAATCGCTCATTTATTAGGAGCCCAATTATTTTTTAAATTATAATTTTTAAATCTGTATAAGCAAATTAGTTATTATTATTATTATTCCTTTGATTTCCTGGTCCCGATCAAAGACCTAAGGTCAGAAAAGGAATCATGACATTTTCCACTGAGCATTTTTTTGTTTTTTGTTTTTTTTAAACGCACATATTTCCCATAGATAAAGCTCTTCGTAAGGCGTGGGCTGTACTTGTGAGTACAATTTTTTGTATTTCTTTAAGACAGGGACTACCAGGGATTATTTAATGAGTGTATTAGAATCTTTTCCAATCAATCCGAGGGCTCCAACTACAACTGTTATTATTATTATTATTATTAAGATTTGTCAACCTTTTGCTGGTTATTTAAAGCCAGAATATAATTTATATTGGAAGATTATTTTGGAGGTAATAATGATTTACTGATCCAAGTCCTACTAATTAACCCATAGCCGGGGAGAGAAGAGGTGGATTTTTACCTTTCGTAAGGATATTTGCGCATAAGGAGCTGCATTTGCTGGTTCCCAGACGTCACGAGTTCCAGCGCTTCACGAGGCTGGCATCCCGCTCTCACCCCTTCACTGTCGAAACTCCTAAATATAGCCATCTCTTTTACTCTAATAGCTTCATGTCTCGCACCTCTCGCCTGTGGAACTCCCTTCCCTTTTCCTGTTTCCCTGTGAGCTATAATCTCCAGCTATTCAAGTGTGATGTCAATCGACATCTCCAGTTGCCTTGATCTATCCACTACCCTTCTCCTCATCCTTTCTTCTATCACTCCTATCTGATCTTGCTCTGAATTTTCTGTAACCCCTTGCGTCCTAGTGGCTTTCCGCCTTGCTTGGGGTGAAATGCTTAAAAAAAAAAAAAAAAAAAAAAATAGAACGAATCCGAACCCGGTGCTCCGATCTCCAATTTCGAGCCTTTACCCATTGCACCACCCGCACATCGAAGCTTACAGCGCCCGGTATTCCCATGCAGTCACTCATCTAGGTACGGACCAGGCTCGACGTTGCTTAACCTATTATTATTAGTTACGCACAAAATAAATAACTGCTAATCTGAGCCAGATATGATACATAAGCGGGTAGATATACTGAATAAAATTTTAAATTCGGTCATTTGGCATGTTCTGTTCCAGTGAGCATGTGTTGAATACGAAACTGTATTTTTTTAGGAGGCCCTATCATTATGAACAGATGCATTATGAACACAGCCAGCATCTCTTCAATTGCTGTAACAGGGGAAAGGACAGGAATATTCTTTGATACACGAGACGTTCTAATTGGAAATGCCGGGAGAGCTGGATAATTTTCATTTTTGAATACCACAGTTATGGGCATGAGAAAAGCCTTTGATTAGCTTTGATAAAGGTAAAATTGTTTTGATCAGGAGTCGTATTTAATATATATCCATTACGGAAACAGATGGTGGGGAGCTGACGTTCAGTTGTGGTGAGTAGCTGTCGGCACTGGTCCGCTATGTGGTAGAAATTACAACTTGCCGACAAGGCATTGAGCGGTCAATAGTTATTAATCCGAAAAATTGAACGAAGGCTATGTGCAAGAAAGTACATGACAAGCGTTCTCGTTCGTATCGGTGTGCAGTAAGAACTGAGAAAAGGCGGAGTTGAACGCTTACAAGGAAACGACAGAGGTGAAAATAAACGCCTTGTTGAGAAATGAAGATCCGAACCATTGTCTAGTCAGGGGTTCCTATGCACGGTATGGACGGGTTCATAAGTAGATAGATGACACTTGGGGGAAACTTCTGTCACATCTGACATCTCAGGCCAACAGATCAGTTTTTCAACAAGCAAGAAATCTAACTCTCCTAACAGCTCTCTGTACATTTAGTCATCCTCAGGCATGAAAAAACAAAATAATTTCCATGCCTGAGGATGACTGATTGTACAGTTGAAAGTACTTGCTTATTAAAGAAAGACCTTATAGAGTTTATAATTTTAAAAACAAGGATCATAACATTCATCGAGTGATTTGTAGGTTAATGCATCTTTAATTTTTTTTTTCCGAAAGGATTTCGCCATTTTATATCATTAACTTTACTAATCTACTTTTTGTATGATTGATTCATTGTAATATATATATATATATATATATATATATATATATATATATATATATATATATATATTTATTTTGTTCTTGTTTTTACTTCTCGGTATAAAGAGGACAACGAAAATAGAGATGTAATCCGAAAAAATGCTATGAGAAATGTGTTATTGTTTTGGAACGTGCGGTCGCAACGCTGAGTTTGAATTTTAAATTTTAAGGTTGTCCGTTTTTGTACAAATTTAAATCATTAACCTTTATATTTGTTTTTTTATGAATGATTCATATATATATATATATATATATATATATATATATATATATAAACAAAAATAAAAAATTCAAAGATACAATAATGGAAAGAAAACATAAGCAAAAAGGCAGACATCTACCAACGCAATAATCTAAAGTGCTCAATGACTCTAGCATATAGAATTTTACCCACAAAGAACATATTGAAAGCAAGGGAAACAAAGGGTAAACCGAGAATAGTCGGCGTAACGTGTTGTTTGGTTGACAGAACATAGAAAAAATGAATGATAAAATATAAAAAAAAATCACAGAGCAACAGAATACCGGAAGTTGTGAAGAGCCATAATCATCTACAATACAGTTCAAAAGTTTGAAACCACATCCAGAATTACCATTGGATGAACTTGACAGAAGAGAGAAAAAAATGAAAAAGAGCTCTTACAGTCAGTGAAAAAAAAAGAATGGAATCAATTTATCAAAATTTTACTTTGAGAAACTTTTGCAACGTAACACAAATGTTCACAAAACACAACCTCATAACGCAAATGTTCACAAAACACAACCTCGTAATGCAAATGTTCACAAAACACAACCCCGTAACGCAAATGTTCACAAAACACAACCCCGTAACGCAAATGTTCACAAAACACATTTTCGTAACACAAATGTTTACAAAACACAACCCTATGACACAAATGTTTACAAAACACAATCACGTAATACAAATGTTCACAAAACACAACCGCGTAAAACAAATGTCCACAAAACGCAACCTCGTAATGCAAATATTCACAAAACACAACCCAATAACACAAATTTTACAAAACACAATCCCGTAATACAGATGTTCACAAAACACCGCCCTGTGACACAATCGTAGCTGCAAACTGGCAAAATCACTGGGATATTATGTATGACGTCACATCTGGCGCATGCCTAACTGGTTGGCCATTTCCAGTATAGGTTTACAGTAGAATCAAAAAGGTTTAAACTATACTCGAGTCCGTAAGTATCCATCCAAAATGTCACCTGTTTTAGGAAATATTTCTCTGTAAAGTATGCAGACGGTGTATTCTAAGCCTCACCGACAAGGCAGATCAGATTTGGTGAAGGGAATCAATGAATACCTGTAATGTCATTCAGGGAAACACATTTAGCTAAGTGGCCAGATTTTTGGCCAGGTTTTAAACCACATCAAAACTTAGGTAGCATTTTAAAGAGGTTTTTATAAAAAATGATTTTAAATAACCCTAACTTATTAAACAAGGGAAATGAATTGATGGTCCCATGCAAGCATAAAAATAAATATATGTTGAAATACGTTGATCAAGATTCATTTTTACTGTAAATTATAACTATTCCTTTCTTATTTTCTTCTTTTCACTGATGTTATGTCAAGCATATATAATTTTTGTAGGTTCGTTTAATTTAATGCAAAAATGAAAAAAAAAAAAAACAATAAAAAACCCAAACAAACATAAAAATATAAATTTTATATAAATATAAAATATAAATCCCGCCTATCTTAAATACAAAATATTTTTTCTGTATTTAAAACAGATTTTTAATATTAAATAATATTTATTTTTATTTGTATATTTTTTAT